ATTTTAGACTTTTCAATAATTATCCTCCAAAAAAATTAGATTTATTTGATAATTATAATTGTATGATCTCATCATATTTGCCTTTACAAAATAGACGATATAGTTTCAAAATTATATTAATGGTTATCTTTCTGAAAACAAATATAATCAAATCATTTGATGGCAATTATTGAATTAATTTAACTTTTCTGGGATATAACACAAAGTCCTATAAAATGAGTGGCTAGTAGAGATAGTACCGTCGCGTCCAAATTTGAGTACAAGACCAATACTAATTATTAAAACAATTACATATTATTTGTTGAATACAAGACCAACACTAATTATTCAAACAATTACATACTAAGACTTTAGAGCACACAAAAATGGAAATTACGATAAGTGAATTTCTAGGTATTTTTCAAGAATTTTTAACAAGTTTATTTAAATTGTGCTATGATTTTTTGAAAAGTCTCGGAAATGTTTCACAGAAGATTCAATTAAAATTTTATAAGAGATCTCTGTTCTTCAATGAGTTTCTTTGTAAGATCAAAAATAAATTCAATTAAATTTAAGATATAAGCTTATGGCTAATAGTATAAAAGAGTTTAGGTTTATACTTGGTAAGAGAGGTGGCCAACTTTATATACTCTGTTTTTCCATATTTTTTTAATGTTTAGTACAATAAAAAATTGGGAGTTAACTGAAAAATACTTTTCAAGATCAAGAAGGAAAAAAAAGAAAAAAAAAAAACAGAAGTTTATTTTGACAAAAAAAAAATACTTCTTACTTTTTAAAAGCAAAAATATTTTTCAGACAAAAATCTTGTCACCAAACCAACACCATCAATACAACCATCAACACATTAATTTTAAAGTCGCAACTAACCCTGTATTTGGTTGAAAGATTTAGAGAGGGATTTAAAAAATGAAAAAAAAAAAATTTGTGAAACTATGTAAAATATAGATATATTTTATTTATATTGCACCTATCTTTTCAATTTTTCTTTCCAAATCTCTCCTCTAATCTCTCAACCAAACACAACATAAATGTTTGCTTTGGCAGCCTACAAAATACTTAAAAAGTCACTACCAAAAAATCAATTATTCTCTCTACTTTGTTATATGTTTTTTTTGCAAAAAAATCAATTAAAATAACAAGTTCTCAAAACAATTCTAAATATTAAAAAACATATATATTTTCTTTTTTTTCCGCAAAATATTTTTCGTAAACCCTGCTAAAACAAACGGAGCAATGGGTTTATAGAGCAAAGACTGATGCTAATGAAGCTGTTTCTGTTCCCTTTCCCTGAATAGGTGAATGAGAAAGATATCAAACTCAAGGAGACTATAACAGTATGTGTGGATCATACTTTTGGATATAAATTTATAAAAGAAAAAAATGGATAAAAATTAAACTTTTTATTCACATTCACTCTTTTTCCATTTTTCTATCTAAAGTAATGATTCAAACAGAACCTAAGTGAAAATTCACAATCTGAAAGATGGCCTAAAAAATAAAGATTGAAGGCCTAATGACAAGTCTAAAAGGCTTGTGTTGTTTTTAATTCATGGATTTAAAGAGAAATTTAGAAATAGAAAGAAAAAATGTGTGAAAAATGTACTGATATTTCATTTATATCTCACTTTCCTTCTTAATTTCCATTTTCAAATCCATTCCTAAATCTATGAAACAAACACAGCCTTTAAAAACTTTAAACAAGGTGATGATGCCAGTTACAACTGTGTTTAATCTTCCAAGTTTAATTGGTATTTGAACAATTTTTTGAATAAATTATTGTATTTGAGGACTTCCATTGTAAGAATTTTGAGACATACCTTCACAAATATTCGCAGCTCGTGAGAAAGACTCCTTAAAAACTTACACATAAATTTATATGGTTTAGGGCTATATGAAACTAATGAGGATGGTTGCGCACACGCAACTGAGTACCCATTGCAAGTTGCACGAATTCTTTTGTTTAATTTGAAATATATTGTTAATATGTATGTGAAAATTGTAGAGAATTGATAATTAAGTAGGTATTATGACTTATAATGTAAACACAGTACAACCCAATGAAGTTACATATGAAAAAAAATATATATATATATATACAAAAGAAAATCTTTACACTAAGGTCATGTTTGTTTGGGTGGACATGAGCTTGGGATTGGACTAATAGTCTAATAAAATTATTAATCTAATGTTTGGTTAAACAATTGAAGTACGGATTAGTTATTTTAAACTTAACTATTAGTTAAGATAGGATATATAATCCAACGAATTGATAGTCCTAGGACTATTAGTCATGGGAATACTAATCCAGTCCGCCCAAACAAACATGGCCTAAATGATTTGGCAAAAAATAATAACCATAATTTAATAAACCAGCTGGAAAAAAAAAATTAACTACGCAAATATATATTAAAAAACAAAGATTATGTAAGAGTTAGGATGATGGCTCCGTTTAGTAGAGCTGTGGGAAAGTGATTATAGCTTATACCTTAACAGCTTATAGCTTATAACTGTGAACATAAGCTGATTTTTGACTTATAAATTAAGCTTCTCCTCTCCCACTCAAAGAATAAGTTGATTTTTGATTTACAAAAAGCTATAAGCTGTATTGTTAAGCTGAACCAAACACATCAAAATAGCTTAAATTAAGCTAAAAGTTGAAATAAGCTAGAAATAAACCCTACCAAACAGGACCGATGTATAGAACCAAATCATCAGAAGAACATGAAGCAAGGCATGACAAAATCAGCTAGCCAGGCATCCTTGTAGTTGGTGTCCTAGAGAACTCTTCAAAAGCACACATGAATCAAACCCTAAAGCAAACAGCAGGCATATAATAATAATAAAAATAAAAAACAAACAAACAAACAAATACACACACACATAATTAATTAGGAAAGTAGATGCATTGCAGGTATTGAGTAACAGTCAGCACATAGTTTAACAAATCAGCTACCCAGGCATCCTTGTAGGTGTCCTAGATAACTCTTCAAAAGCACACAATGTTTAAGGAATCAAACCCTAAAGCAAACAGCAGGCATATAATAATAATAAAAATAAAAAAACAAACAAACAAACAAACACACACACACACACACACAAACACACACACACAATTAATTAGGAAAGTTGATGCATTGCAGGTACTGAGTAACATTCAGCACATAGTTTAACAAGCTTCTACCAAAACCAGTTTAATATATGTACTTCATCACAATTTCAGACAAAACTTGCTTGGTGAATAAGGTTGATTTGGGTTAGGCTAAATGCATCCCAAAACCTGTGTAATATCATGAAAGAGGGTGTAATGAGGTAGATTATAGTGTAAATAGCAGCACCCGTTTCATTCAGTCAGTTCCCTACAACTACAGTTCAACATAAGTGAACGTAGATAGATTTCCTACATACCTATAAGTGGAACCTCAATACTGCTCAGACTTGATTTACTAGAGGAGCTCAAATATAGAACAAAATTAAAGACTTACTTCACTGTCTTTTAGTCACTCAAACTCCCTACATAGTCTTAACCAATCACAATAATAATCTCCAGAGATCAGGTTTCCAACCAGCTACTGCCTCTGCCTCTCCTTTAAAATGCTTACAGCTACAAGATGTGCTGATTGTTTTTTTCTATTTCTGTAACTATGCTATGTGCATCATAACTGTTAGCTTATCGTGATTCCCCAATCCTGAAGGGTATTTGGTTCTATCATGCTTTGTTAACAAATGATAAGATTCAACAACGTGGCAACAGGTATTGGCTACATAGGTGCTGTCATTAGAGCCCTAACAGGACTTGCATCATCAATTGCCTCATTCTCAACTTTTGAGTGTTCTAATATGGCGGCAATGAGCTTCTGTCTTCAAAATCTAGGACTCTGGTATTCCACCACTGACTCCCCCTTCATCTAAAATCAAAAGATCAAATAATTTTTTCTATTTGGTAGGCAGAATATAATCAAACACATTAGGAATATTTGCTCTATTACGGCCAAATTCTACTTTTCCTTGGAATTCAGCAGTTTGAAATTTTAAGAACAAAATCAAGTGAAGACTTTACCGTACATTTATTCATACAGCCTAATTTCATGGAACATTACAATGATAACACAAGGAGAGAAAGAACAAGGCAAATTAAAGGGAACACAACCCCGAATCTCAGATCCATTAAAGCAAGTATGGATTTCAAGTGATACAAAATTCAGAGAGGCTTAATATCAGCTTTCTAACCTGGTCACAAGTGGTGAAACTAGCAATTATTGCTTCGACAGTGGCAAGGTCTTCAGAGAGCATACTGTTGTGTGATTGGAACTCTGCGTTCCAGCTCATCACTTTTTCCAAGCTGCCTTACATTCCAATACACCAGATTGTATTTTCCTGAGCAATGTTTTATTCTGATCAAGCTTCTCTTGCAGTTCTTTCCTATTTTGCCATCCAAATCATCACCTTCATTCCTCAACCAAACTGTATAAACAACAAAGAGCATGCACAGTAGAACTCCCTCCAATATGCTTCTAGTCAACCCACAACAGAAGTTAGACTGATGAGGTAATAGGAGGTGAAGAAACTTAACTCAGCTGATACAATACCAGAGTTTGTGAAAGCAGTTTGAATCTCTAAACCAGGAGTGTACTATTTGTATACTTGGAAACCAAATTGAAAACTTGGGTACTATATAATTTGGAAATTCTAAGGTCTAATCTGCTATTGAAGATTTGAACTGCTTTTCAACCAAATAAGAAATCCCTGATGTTTTACCTAAAAATCAATTGTCTATAAAAATTCTTTTCGATATAAGAGCAATTCAATTCGACCAAATATGAAATCCCTGATGTTTTACCTAAAAATCAATTGTCTATAAAAATTCTTTTCGATACAAGAGCAACTCAAACCACAAACTATGAGAGCAAATTTAACTAAATGTATAACTGGAAAACCTAACACAAAAATGAATCTCCATATGATTGAATTTAAGTGCATTTCTGCAAAACAACAGAAAAAGGAAATAAAAGAAATATAAATAATTTCAAAAGAAAAATGAGAACAATTAAAGTTGCAGGGAAACTATATGAACAAATTCCCAAAACCACAGATATCATACAAAAGGAAAAATACAAATAAACAAAAGAAAACACTGACAACATCAAAACCTGAAGCCATACATCTGATATCTACTCTACAATGAGCTCAAAAAGTGGAATATCTACAGATATATGACTTAAGCACTCAGACCTCTTGGTTAAATAATTATACAACCCAGCCATCTAGATAACAATGTTGAAAGAAATAAAGAACCAATATCAAGTACTTTCGCCTGGAGTGAGATGCCCCATCTGCTCTGTTAGGTTATCAACATTATTCATGTTCCGCCAAAATTTAGGGTTATCTGCCTGCTTAGTCTCACTTCTTATCCCATTAATGTCTCTTCTTTCAGACTGAACTTCCTGAGTGTCAGATGAACCAGGAGTCTCAGTCAGAAACTGTTCCCAGAAGACATCATTCGCTCCGGTCACCACAGCCGGAGGAGTTGTCCCCTCTACCCGTTCTTTCAAAGCATTGACTACAGGACCATCAACAGGCTTTAAATTTACATCAATGCCAGAAGATTTGGACCACACATCTACATTGAGGCCAATAGATGTGATGGCAGGGTTCTCCAAATGAGCAGAAGACACAGCCAACTCGGGGGATGAATGAACATCCCTTGAATCAGGAGATGATGATTGCAGTGGAGGCGAAGACTGGTGAGCATTCATATCAGAATCTCTAGAAGATTCGTGCATCTCGGTTATAATGACTGATGAAGGCTGCGGATGCACACCAAAATCATATATTTCTTCATTTGAAGTTTGACGGACTCCACGTATAAAATTTTCCCAAAAATTTAAGGATGATTCCAACTTCTCGATTAACTCCAAATTTAGTACTGGAACAGATGTAGCATCTAGGTTCTCCTTCTGGAAAGTCATAAGCTGGTCCTCTCCCACATTGGCTTCATCATATAAGTAATTAGATATCAACAACCTTCTCTTCTTATTATGAATTTCTGATGGTTGCATGTGACTGAAGGCAAACCTGGGTTCGTCTAATTCTTGGGCCAAAAACACCATCATTTGCCTCTGTCTGTCTTTTATAGTCTTCAGACGCTCTCCCAATGACCTTACTTGAAATTCATATCCGTGTTTCTCTTGTTCATATCTCTGTAGTTCCATCTGGAAAAAACTCTTTTCATGTTTCAGCCTCTCAATTTCCTCCTCGAACTCCTGCCTTTCTGAATCAGTTAATGGAACAGAAGAATTCTGCGCAGAATGACTATGGATTGGCTTGCGTCGGTGAATATTCTTTAGAAGATGTCTCTGTCCTCTAATAAATTCCTCGTTAGCAAATTCCCACTGATCAGGATCAATCTTTCTAAAACCCTAGAGAAGAGAAGAACAATGTTGGATTTAAGGAATTCAAAATTCATAAAACAAAGGTATAAAAACCCAAATTGGAAAGAAAACAAATCAAGTAAAAATTGAATTTAAAGATGGAAAATTCTAAACATACATAAAATTCATGAAAAAGACTTGACAAGTATGATGTGGCAATGTCATTATTATAAATAAATCCATCTTTAATGGTGCTTTATTTTGAAGTGAAAAGTCTATAATGAGCCACATCATTACCAAACCAAACCAAACCAAGCCTAAAGCCCCATCAAATGGGGTCGGCTACATGAATCCTTCTTCTCCAAACGGTTTCATCAAAGGTCATTTCGTTAGTTAAATTAAGTAGATTCATATCTCTATTTACTATGCTAGCCAACGTCAATCTAGATCTACCTCACCCCCTAACACTTTCATCTACCGTCACTGCATTGCATCTCTTTACTACTCTCTGTTGGTCTCCGTTGAATGTGGCTCATCCTGAATATAATGAGTCACATCATTATGTATGAAAATTATGTAGCATTACTCTTTTAAAGATTGGCCCTTTGTATCGTTGTTGAAAAGGGAAAAGACAAAAAAGAAGGTTTTATTGCTCTCACTTAAAGCTCCCAGTTCTTTTCTTCACTTCCATTAATTATAATTTCTTCTCTTCTCCAACAATTTGCAGCTTAATGTCCTTACTCATTTAGTTGAAAGTGAGACAGAAAAATTGAAACACAAAACAAGAAAAGATAACAGAATTGAGGTTATAAAACATTATGCTGATGCACTTACATATGTGTTGAGCTGCCTGACAAAACTGGAAAAGTTATTGTGCTTGAAGTACTTTGGAAGCAAATCTCTGGCAAAGTCGGGTGGATTCCAAACAATGAAGCTCTGGCCACTCTGACTCCATGAAACAATAGGGTTCGTCACCGAGTCATCCACCATCTCATACGTCTTTGAGAGAAAAGGCGGTGGCGCATTAGAACCACCTTGAGATCCATCCATCACCAAACTCAGTTTATATTACTAAGCTAGCCACCAAAATCCAAATCCCTAGAAAAACAGAATACCCACAAATTCAACCAAATGGCAGCTTCTTTATTTCTGAGTTTAAACCCTAAACCAATTCAATCATCAACCTCAGAATGTGAATTCCTACCAATAAACAAAGAACCCAAAATTGGAAGTCCAAACCAGAATGGGTGGTTAGATTCACAAACAATTCACTGATTTAAATCAAAACCCATAATTGGAGTCCAAAACAAAATGACAACTACGTTTCCAGTTCAAAACCCAACTGCTAATAATTATTACTCAAGCAAATCCCAAATTCAAATCAAACAAATAGAAGTTTGTTTACACAACCAAGGCACAATCCCAATATCAATACTCGATTTTTAGAACCATAAGCAGAGTAATTAATTAAGCTAACAAAAGCAAATACAATTACAACACAGAGAGATGTATTGAAAACTCGTTAATCTTACCTCAACCCTTTCAAAATTTGAACACAAGAAAACCCTAAATCAATTCCAAACCCACAAAAAAGCAATCAATCACAGTCGATTCAAGTGCGTGGAAAGTCCAGTCAATTCAAAAGCAACACCGTGTGTTCTATCTAGAAAGAGAAAGTAGAGAGAATTGTGAGATTTTGTTAAGCGAAGAGAGAGAGAGTGAGACAGAAGGAAGGAGGAGACTTTTGACTATTTTTATTGCAAGAAGACGCAATTCCGATCGAATGAGAATGAGAATCCAACAAGATGAATAGAAGAACAAGTGTAGATTTCAAAACTCGATTCGTTCGTACACAGTGTACATTTGTCTCTTTTATTTTTTTTAAAATTTTTTTTTGATGGCTGGGTGCTTCCGAGAAGACGCGGCCGTTGAATTGTCTCGGAAACATTTGGATTGAAAATTTTTCGTTACATATAGAAGAGACAATTTACCATTCTTTATTGGGCTGGTATTATTATTTGCCTAATTTCTTTGGATTTTAAGGGAGTTGATTGGAATGCCTTAAATAAGTGTATTTTTTAATTTTTTAGATTAAAATATTAAAGAAAAAAAGATTGTTGTTTGAGATAATTTTTTAGTTTTTTATGAAAAAATATTTATTAAAAAATTGTATAAATTAATGTATAGGAGAAGCTTAGGATAGAATAGGCAGTACGGTGGATGTCCTACCTGGCAGCGTAGTCGAGTAGTGTTTAGGAGATGATTGCCTCCTTTTCGAGCATTGAATTGGACGATTTGTTCAGCCCGTGGGGGCCACCACGGGTCCCGTTTTGCTAATCGGAACGATCAATGTGTAGAATTTGTTAAATACTATATGCTTGTAAAAAATCATGTTGATCGAATATTGATAACTATCTGATCGGATTAGTTTTTTTTGTCAACTGTTAACTATGACACCATCTATTTTTTATACAAAATTGATTTGATCATATAGTTAGCGATATTCGATCAACATAATTTTTTACAAACATATAGTACTCGACAATTTGTACACATTGAACGATTCAGATTATCAAAATGGGACCCGTGATGGGCCCACACGAGCTGAACAACATCGTCTTATCTGCTTCACCTGTTTCCTTTTGTACAAATTGTGGGTAGCTAAAGTACAACTCACGTGACATGTGAGTTGTACTTTTTTTTTATAAAATTATTTTTTTTTATTTTTTGGTAAATAGTGATAACTTTTTAACTTTTTAAGAAATTTTTTGGCTTTTGAACTTTTTTGAGGCATGCCAAACTAGCCCTTAATTTTTAATTTTTTTTATTACAATTATATTTTAAAGTAAAATTATATTAAAAGATATCATTTAATAAAATATCTACCGATTAAATGAGAGCTAACCCTCTAAAATATTGTACACTCATCCCCACCTCCTTCTCTTCCTCCCGCCCTACATATTCTATTTGTTCTAAAGCCTAAACTTGTTACTCTTCATAACCAATCAACATAAACTCTAAACTGTTACTCTTTATAATCATCTTAAATCCTGAATATATTCTCTTCATCACCATCATAAACCCTCCTAAATCATAAATCTTGAACTATAAAGTTTTTTTCAAGTCTAACGTATTACTCTTTATCAGTTATTTCACCCCGTACAGCAATGAAAGACGATGACAACAATTCTAATGAGGTTGGCGTTGCATTGGTATGTTTATCTGTTTTGCATTAATATTCTCGATCATTTTCAATCGTTGTTGTTTTGTTTGAGTTAGTTCGGTACTGGTTTGCTAACTGTTAAAATTTTTTTTACTGACGTAGTATTGAGCAAAAACATTTAATTCAATAGATATGTTTCGAAGACTAATGAGTGGTTTGGTATTGATGTGTTGAACGGACTTTTGTATCTTCAACACCAGATTGTGTTTTTCATGACGATTTTTTTCCTCTAAAACCCCAATTTATGCTGAAATAAACCAAAAAATAAAAATATGATAAGAAGAAGCGAGGTAATGCTGTTGATAAGATATGGAGTCGGTATTTACTTGGGAGGAATTTCTGATGAGTTTTCCGATAGTATTCTTTGGACACTATTGAGTCGATTCCTCCTTTCGTTGAGAGTCGACAGGAATTTCAATGATGGACTATTGATGTAATGCTATTCACTGAGACAATGATGTTTACTAATGCAATGACCGTCAATATTTTTTTCAACAGAAGATGGACCGTCATTAAAAGGAGAAGGAAATAGGGTGTGCAAAATTAAATAGGTGTGCTTTTAGATGTGATAATATTATGAGTAGTGTAGGGTAAATTAAATTTAGTATGAAGTAGGATATTCAAAGAAATTTTATTAAAATTTAAGATTTAGAATGGGCTCAAAGAAATGAGGAGTCCAAAGAATTTAAGTAGGTGCTAATAACAATCTTCTTATTTTATTTATTTTTATTGTATTCCTAGTCTACCCCTTTTGTTATATTTATTAAATATATTTATATTATAATATTATATAATCTAATATTTTTTTTTATAAATATAATGTGCTGAAAATATTAAAATACTATACTTGAACAATTATTTGCATTTTTTTATTTATTATTTTACGTCTTTTCAATCTCATTATGTATAAATTATTCCCACTGGGATTCGACCCCAAGTGAGGTGGCGCACCGTGATTAACAAAAAAAGAATTATTTTATTTATTTATTTATTTTTTTGAGTTTCAGCTAGTGGAGGCTCGCCACCTCACTGGGGTTGCAACCACTGGGTCTGCAGCATAGTTGTTTCTAATATTATAAAATTAGCTTGTGCTCGCCAGCTCTACCCCCTTCTTCATTTGTGCCGCCTCGGTCAATATGGTCTGAATGGGTTTGATTTGGAATAAAATCAGACTTAATTTATTATTTATAGTTTCATAAAAATTAGAATAATACAATCTATTTAAATTGTGAACCAATTCGAACCAAACCATTAAATATGGTTCAATTCGATTTGAAACTACGAATTCACATAATTTATTAACAAAGAAAAATCATATAATATTTTCGTTTCATAATTTTTCAAAACATAAACATACATATTATTCTACCATTAATTTTTTTGGTCTAAGCCGATGTAAGCCCACTAGATCCCGACTAATCCAGTTCGAGCCAAGTCGGCCCACTAAGGGGGTAAAACTCTCCGAACGCTAGTTTTTTTCCATTTACAAGACTCAAACCCGATATCTTGCTTAATGAGATCAAATGCCGAACCACTTGAACCAACCAAGCGTTGGTCACAATAGCAGAAATCACCATTAATTTAAACAAATATAATATATAATTTCATAATAGCAGCAGCAATCACCAAATTCAAAAAAAAAAAAAAAAATTACAACTAATTTCACCATTAGACCATTACAAAACTAAAACTAAAAGAAAAACACAACAATAGCAACAAAATTCCATAACAGCAGCAGCTTCATAACAGCAAATTCCACATGTGTATGATAGGAATATAAGAGGTATGATAGTATAAGAGGTATAATAGTATGTATCGGGGGTATATGATCTGAGTATAGTCTAAGTTACGTACGGTCCAGATCGGTTTCAATCCGAAACCGTAAAGTGTAATTTGAAATCGATTTGCAAAACACGATTCCTTAATTTTTCAATTCAGAACCAAATTATGAATTCAAAAAATAAGTCCAAACATACTTAGCCACCGTTTGGGAAGTAGGTTGGCTTTTTGGCTTTTTGGCTTTTTTGGCTATTTTAGCCTGGGCTAAAAAGCTTGGTTTGGGAAGGGCTTTTTGGCTTTTTGACTTTTTTGACTTTTTTTGTGAGAGAAGAATGTAATGATTATAGGTTGGATGTGATGTTTTGTTTGTTATGGCTAAAATAGCCTATTTTGTTTTTTGTGGCTAAAATAGCCAAAAAAGCCTGAAAAAGCCCTTGCCAAACACAGGCTAAATTGGACTAAACCGGATCGGTTTGCAATCCCTACTCAGCCCCTACTTGATATGATCCAGCTTAGGTACGAGTGCAAAATATTCAAGAGGTGCATAGGCAATATTTATAATTTATATTATTGTGATTTGGTAAAATTTATAATTTATATTATTTATTTATCAAAAGATATCAAATATATTTATATTTATTTTTGAAAATAATATAAAACAAAAAATATATTCAATACACTTGTTTTGAAAACTTGCTTCGAAAATAAATAGGAGGGGCACCTGTTATTGTTAATGGTCATTTCTAATAGAAAGTAATAAGATATAGGTGATTTTTTTTTATTAAAGGTGGGGGTTAAAAGTGATTTTCGATGGAAGATTGTGATTTTATATAATTTTCAACAAGAAGTAATAAACAGAGATTGCTTTAACAAGGGATAGTTGTCAAAGATGCTTGTCGGAGGAAACCGCCATCAAGGGTGGCTAAATGTGGTAGCTAGTGATGGCGATAAGCATTGGATATTGGCCAAAGGAAGTAGTAGAGGGAGGAATGAATGAATTTTTTTTTTTCTAAACAAGTGAATCCAACTTGGTTTTACTATTTTTAAATTTTTTTTTTTTTGGGTATTTACAAAAATTTTGTAAAAACAAAATTTAATTGGAATTTTTTAAATTTAAATTTTCAATTAATATAAAGTTTTAATTAACTTCTTGGGGGCTTTTGGGATATATTTTAATTTTTTTTATTTTTCAAAATCCAAATAAAAACTAGTAACCTCCCTTCTCAAAAACGCACTACCACCATAGTTGGCAAGCTTGGGAGAAGCCCGCTGATTCCCGCGAAAATTATTTTATTTCTGGTGGGTTGAAATTGATAAATAATGAAACTTTCCTTGATATACATTCTCACCAAAATCAAACAAACATGAGAAAATTCTAATATCTATGTCCTCAAAACCAACTTTTTTTTTTGGTAAGGGTGAAAACATTTTAATTGAGAGTATTTGAGATATCCTCTTCTGTTCACAACCTTTCTTCAAACACAAAAAAGAAATACTGCACTGTGTTTGCCCCAGATATGAAATTTCAGCCTTTGCGTAACGCAATGTACATGCAAGCTTTCAATCTCAAAACAAGTAAAGCAATCATGCAAGTGAAATTTCACTATTATGTTCGATCCCAATGACTATTTTAAGATTACAACAATTATTTCCATCATACATCTGGATCTGTTGTCGATGTGAAACGGATATTCAAGGAAACTAAACGAACGCTCATCCAAATGTTCTTTTTGATCAAAAGCAAAGGATAGAGGATCCAAGTAAACATACTGGAAACTTGGGTAGTCTGGTCCACAACATTTGAAAGCAGCTGTGTATTTCAATGCAAAGCCTTTTACAATCTACTCCCTATTGGTTTAGCAAGTTTGGAAGTTGAAGCGGAACCATTCCCAGGAAACACACCTGGCTTCCTCATGGGAGAGATGCTGTAAGACAAGATGCAAGAATTAAAGAGTGTTCGTAAGTGTATTTATAGATAGCAAACAGATAGAGATGGAGAAGCAAGATTCTTACCTATGACTCTTTTGCACAGAATTTCTCTTCATTGCTGCTAAATTTTTTGTCTCATGGCTGTTAAAAGAGACGGAAAAGGAGAATTGAAAAGGTTCAGTACCCGAAAGCCCATCTCTTTAAGAAAAAAAAAAGTACATTTTCTTGTTAATGTGGCTTTCTAGTAAGACTTGTGTTACATAGACTCTTTTATTTCCCCCAAAACTACCTATGTCCACCAAATATGACAAGAGTAAGGATGTGACTTGCACCCAATTTAGATAATTGGATCCACTTATTTTTTAATATATTTGAAGAAGAACAAAGTCACATCGCTGTTAAAGAAACATTTCTAGTCTCTCACATGGATGAGAGAGAAAATTTTCATATTTTTCCTTAATTCTATTTAATTTCAAGTACAATTCCACATAATTTAAAACATTTTAACTAAGAATATTATAGAATATGTAACATATATAAGTGCCCATGGAGCGTTCCTGTACCCATGTTCAATTTTTGGATGCATATCCCAATATCCTAAGATTTTAGTTTATGAAAATCTGATGTTTGGACACGTACCCATGCCCGCACCTGCACCCGCACCCGATACTCATTCCCAATTCCATATAACATATAGTAAAACATTAGGTAGGACCCAACAATACTAAGACCTAGTTATAAGTCCACACTTTTTATCTTTTTATCTTTTTTGAGTCACATCAATCAACATCTCCTCTCTACTTTTCTACACATCTTTTTATAAAAAGTCAAAAAGCACACTTATTTTGAACATCTCAAACAACCCTTAAATCCAACCAAGATAAGTGGATAGCTAAATTTTGGAAAGACCAAAGGTCTTGCTGGAAGGATGATTGCAGGTCTTTAAATCATCGTAGAGCCATGTTGTGTAGCATGGAAGATTTATGCTGAAGAAAAGAAAGGGAAAGATTCTACTTTCGCCTTGGGTGCGTGTTTCACCAGTAAAACATGGCACATGTCCAGCAATGACCCAGACAAACTCTGCTTCAGGTTTGATGCCCAACACCAGTCAGGCCTCTCAAAAGAACCCAAAACTATTTTTGATTTATGTACTTTCATGGCACATATATAATGATGAAGCATGCAAATCACAGGAGGTTTACAAAGAATCCATCTACTTATAGAGCAATAAACATGAAATTGCAGCATCCCACTTTTGCATCACTTTAAAACACAAGTCTACCTGTTAAGAAACTGTAATTTTGCCTTCTTCATTATGCTGCTCTTTGTGTTGGAAATATTGCTGCTACCAGGGCCTGCAAATAATTTGAAGAGTAAAAAAATAATAATAATAAAAAAACGACTTAAAATTGTATCAACTTCAGTGGTGTCATCCCATGGCAGGCACCGCAAACAGTCTAAATGCACTCAATCACTTGATAAAACTACAAATAAGCATAAGTGAATGAAGAGGGTACCCCCATAAAAGCTTCTTTTATTGCTTGAAGGTGGAACCTTTGTGCAAAGCTGTACCTGCCGACTTTGTTTCCCTACAAGAATTAAGTGCATTGAAATTTTCAATAACTGGAAAAGTAATCCCAATATATACATAATGTTGCCCCAAATTCCAAAGCTGAACAGGCAGGTAGCACTCACTCCACTACTGGAGGGCCCAAACTCCAGTCTGATTTGGCAATGCCAGCACCTGGGTGAACCAGCAGGGGCTAGCAGTTGACCACTCTTAATACTGGAGAGAGGAGCAAAGCTAAACTCACGTGGAAAATGTTTCACTTCAGCAAATGATACAAATTTATGAGAAATAAACGGGATCATCCTACAAAGCTTCATTTCAAAATTAACCAAAATAAATATTATAAAATACATCTAACTTGAACTTCTCTCAAAATGTTCAAGTTATCATCAGTAAAACTCCAACACCCCCATTCAATTTCTCTGATTGGTCTATTTCCTCTCCTAGATATTTTTATTCAACCCATAACTAGTTTTCTTTTACTTCATTATGTTGAACAAGCCTTTCTTTTATAATCCTAATCCTATTCTTATCCAAGCACTCCAAAAACACCCAATTAACCATAGTTCAGAAATTCCCCGCTATCATAGGGAAATCCAACAACTTATTGAGATAAAAAACTGGTCTATTGTAATCTCATGATGACAATGTATAAATCACTAACTTCTCCTACTCAGAAAACATGAGCTATTGTAAAGCACAGCACACAAATGAAATCAGTGATATGATAGTAGTCAGTGTTTTCATGAGGTCTGAAGTGTTCAGAAGTGCAAAATATTCATCAATAATGTGATTGATGAGATTATTGTTCCTCAGTTTAAAATACATGCAAGTAGATGAAATTTTCTATAGAAGTACTAAGTACAAAATCCTCATCAACAATGAGAAACGAAAGTAAATCATGAGCTTGCACCACAAATGCAAGATATGCAAAGAAAAAAAATGTGAACTACAAGTGACTCAGTAAGCTAACAAAGGCACATAACTGAAGCATGCAGTTTTTTACTTAATAAATAATCAAATAAATAAAGAACTCACGAGCATCTTCCTTTTTGTATAGTTCTTTAATTCTATCAAAAGACTTCTGTTGAGCCTCCTCCAAATCCTTCGCCTTTGCCTACAAGAAAATCAACCCAGTTATAGCAGTGCATCTCACTTACGAATTATGATCAAACAAGATACAAATTCTTAGCAATAGTTGAAAATAAAGATAAGCCAAAAATAATTAGTAACTAGAAACATACAGAAACTGTGGATAACATTAGATAAAGAGGAAATAAGAATAACATTACCTCATACAATTTTTTCCATTTAAATGACACTTTCTTCTGTTTCATCCTCTCAATGACAAGATTGGTGCTCTTACCACCAAATTGTAACTCATAAAATCTCTTCCACAATTTATCAGTCACCGGGCTAAGATCCCTTCCCTGCAAGACTCAGTATGTTAAGTAATCAAATGTCCCTACACAACCTCAAACAAGTATCATTTTAAAAAGGCTAATGTAAAAGATAGTCCCTCTTACTTCTGTCGAATTCTCAACGTGCATCAACTGTTCAACTGTACAGTGAGATAAAATGCGGTCTAGAAGCTGTATATCTGTATCCCCAACATCGCCGAGATACCTAACGTTGTCTACTGCAGCCTGAACACATAGATCAACCAAAGAAGGAACCTTCCTCCTTGTCATCATATATCTTTCAGGTTGTCCCGATCTCATATCCTCCGAAAGCGACACTTTAAATGAAGCAAAATCAACCTTCATGATCATTTTGTAAAAGTAAGTAAACATCAACAAAAGGGGCTCATTAATTTAGTCTTTCAATGGCAATATATTCCCCTTTCTTTTCCCTAGTTCATTATATTAAACATATATTTTTTTACTTCTAAAATAGAGAAAACACTGGTAAAAAGCACTTCTTAATGGGTACTTTACAACAAAAACAGAAATTTGGAGGGTTACACATCACACCATATACTTTCCATAAACAATGGAAAACTCAGCTACACTTAATTATGCAGCGTAACTGAAAATAAATCGTAAAAGCTCAAAACTTTTCATACATTTTAACTTACTTTTCTCAGCAAACAAACAAACAAACAAAAGGATTGCAATGCCCGCTTACAAAACAACGATTTTTAGAGCAGATCCCATTAATTCATGATTAAATAATAATTTAATAATAACAAACAAAACAATTGACTATCTCCTATTGTAAAAAATTTACAAAATCTCAGAGAAGAAACATATGACATCAAATTAAACCCTTTAACTCCTCTAATCAATATATAGATAGATCGAATCTCCACAATTTAAAACATAGATACACAAATAAATAAATACCTATATATATATCGGATCGATGGCATCAAAAACGAATTTACGAAAGGTCGATTCGATTGGATTCAATTCCATTCGATTACATATATATCGTGTGTATATGCGTGTGAACATCGAAGTCTACATCTACATAAATGGTAAATTATAAATAAATATATACAGCACATGTATATACATATATGGGGTTTGATAGCTCACCGGAACGTAATCAGAGACAGAAATTGCAGTGGCTGGCCGGAGATGAAAACTTCAAAGGACTCCGATGATCACATCTATATATACATGTATGTAAAATTTATATAAACTAGGAATCCTGGAATTGTAGAATGCACAGGATTGCGCTAACGTGCACCGGATCGATTGATGATGAGGTGATACTATATCTAACGTCCACTGTAGGCGTAGGATTGGCACCCCTTGTGGGACCAATGCCTAACCCCCTTTTTAATTATTTACCTCTCAATTAGTTATAATATATTCTTTTATTATAATAAATTTTATTATTTGTATATTTGATCTGCCAAAGAATAATCTTTGGTAGCACGAAATTCTGGTGACTCGAACGGCTCGACTATCCAAAACGACATTATTTTGGATAGTTTTTTTTTTCTTTTTTTTTTTTCAGTCTTATGTTTGAAACAGAGGGAGAGAGTAAAAGAGAGAAGAGAGAAGAGAGCAGAAGAGAAAGAGAAAGAGAAAGAGAAAGAGAGAGGAAGAGAAGAAAAAGAGAGAGAGAGAGAGAGCACTCGCTCCACCAATCACCGCCACCATTACTGACGTCGCTATCCTCTGGTGTATACATAGATCTGTGTATACACAGATCTGTATCTTTTTCCCTGTGTATCTATCTCTCTCTCTCTGTGAATTTGTGTGATGATGATGATCTCTATGTGATGACGATTGTACGGGGAGCAAATATTCAGGCAAGCCCATACTCTATTCTTCTAAGCTCCGCTTCTATCCGATCACCTGCGTACACAAAGGCGGTGAGCTACCCGGCGGTGTGTGGCCGGAAAACCCCTCTGACGGTCAAGTTAGAACACACACCAGGGGATAGATAGAGAGAAGGGAGAGAATTATGTTTAGTTTTTATCTCACCAAAAATGTCCTGTGTCCAGCATGGGGGCGCAGACTTGCTTATATACCTTCTGCGCCCCAAATCTACTCCCAGTGATCTCTCGACACGTGGTTCTGCTATCCCATCTGTCAGCACAAATCTTGCTGAGCATCACCTAACCCAATTGCCAGCCCACTCTACTGGGAGCTCGGCAGCCGGGCAACATTATCTCGGCTACCAATGCCCACTTCAAGCCAAGCGCACTTGACGGCGTAATGCTCTTCCAATCGAGCTCATTTCTAGCCGTGCTCGACTGCATTCCAACGAAGCCGAGATGGAGGTTGATCAACTTGGTCGTACCGGGCTGAGGGCGCGTGTATTACAACCGAGCAACGCGTGAGCTGTGGAACCCTTACCTGACTGAACCTTAACCTGCCCGGTCTCCGTGCCAACGAAATCAGGTAGCTCGGTTCCATAAGGAATTTGCCATTACCGAGCAAGATCACGGCCCAATCTCGGAGCCAAATACCTCGGCCCAACCTCGTTCGGCCCAATCTGTCTGGCTAATTCCACCTTCCCAAATTCAGATCATTAAGCTCCCTCTCAATTGCCCCTTAATTCCGTCCGCTAAAGCGTGACTGAGATTACCTATTCCGACCGGGGTATCACCTCCTCGGTCCTCAATTTACTAATCGGCAACCGGGCTAGTCGACATGCATGAATTCAAACTTGTCCGGTCTGACCTTCCTGGCTCTTCGGCTTGCTCGGTCGATGCCTCACCTGACCTTCCTGTCTCTTTGGCTTGCTCGGTACGCCTTACCTGACCTTCCTGTCTCTTCAATTCTGACGCTGCCATCAATGGGACACGTGGCGTTCTCCCGTTGGTCCTCGAGCAGCCAACCAGCCGTCGCATGAAATTCGAATTTGGGCGGCAATTGGGGCTATATACGTGCCTCGTCTCTCTCTGTTTCATTCTTACTGACCATCTTCCGTCTCAAGCGTCCTAGAGCTGTTGCCCTTCTTCTCTCGCCATTCTTGAGCTCGTGCTCGAAGGAAAAGTCACTGCCCTTCACTGGTAAGTCCTTTAACTCCTCTTTTGTTGCTATCTTCTTTAATATTTCACACATTAGGGCACTAAAACATAGTTTCTAGGGTATTAGTCTTAAGAACCATCCCAAACCTCCCACTGTGAATGGTGTTCTTCATTTTTCCTGAAGAACACTGAAAATCTGGGACGGACCGGGCGCCAGGTCTCCATTTGATCCAAAAGGCCAATCTGACCAAGCAAATAACCTGTTTGTCCCAACCTTAGTGGAAACCGGGGTAGGCAAAGGGTTTGGTCGATCGACCGGGCTAATATCTGGTCCGCTTGAACGACCGGGCTCCTTGGCTAACCTTCACAACCGAGGTGGTTTGGCACAATTAATGACTGAGCTAAAGTCAAGCTCGTTTCGCGCGACCGCGCTTCCTCTTACACTTGACAACCTTTTCCTGCAGAGTCTAAGAGGACCCCTGATCATTTCTGAGGCTCTCAAAGACCGAGCAGCCAACAATCACCAGTCAGTGCCGAACCTCCTCAGCCGAGCTAATTTAGCCGGTCGTTCATGAGGAAATTTCAATTTCTCGTAGATACTCCGGTTGCCCTAGCTGCGTTCAGGGAGGAGTACGGCATCCCGGCCGATGTCCACCTTGAGCTTGCAGAAATTGAGACAACACCTTGGGGTAGAGAGGAGTGCCCCTTCACTGTGCTATCAATTGTCGAAGGAGGCCTTCGTTTCCCACTCAACCCATTGATCACCGAGTTCCTGCGCCGCACCGAGCTTGCATCCACTCAAGTGTCCACCAATACCTACCGAATAATAAACGGTGTGCACGAACTTAACAACCGGCTAGGCACAAACTTAGGCTTAGCCGAGATATTGCGTCAGTACACTCTTGGACACACCAGCGATGGTTTCGCCTATTACCTTAAGATTAGGCCGGGCAAAGAAAAAATAGTGACCGGTACACCGGACAAGGACCTGCACGATGACGATTTCTTCTGGGTGACTGGTAATTATGAAACAGCCAAGGTACCGGGTTGGTTCATAAGCAAGAACTTCGGTTCCACATGTAAGTCGGTCTGCTTCTGCTCGGTCAATTGTTCCTCTACATTATTCTGTACTTAACCATTTTTCTTGTTTCTCCTACAGCTATTCAAGCCTTGCAAGCCAACTACCAATACCCCAACGTTGAAGCCATCCACACCGTGCTCCGTTACAAGCACCGGGATTGCAACGAGTTGCTCGGCTACACGCCAACCTATAGATACTCGGCACCACGCCAGAGTAAAGTAACAGACTTTCTCCGCGCTCCATCACCTCCTCCAGACCCAACTTTGCTTGGCGTCCCACTAATTCGGTTGACAGAAGCTGAGGAGATGGCAAAAAGAAGCCGCATAAAAAATTTGCTCACAGCCACCTTAGCCGAGATATCGAGCATTGCCACACGTTCCCCAGCTGCCGGCCAATCAAGCGGCCCCGTGGTCGCCCTGGCATCTCCAGCCGCCGGGTAAACCAGACAGGAAACCCACCGGGCTGGCAAAAGGCCTCGCGCAGACCCATCTGCCGAGCTGGTTGCCGAGCTGACAATCGAGCAACCTACCGACACGGTCGACCCCGTTCCAGCGTGGCGGCCGCAACTGAAACACAGGGGTAAAGAGATCCCGGCAAATGCTTCGGTCAAAGGCGACAGTGAGCACTTGCTTGCCTTCGACCTCTCAAAGGCGCTGCTGCTGACGAGCGACGTGGTTGGCAGCGACCACGTTCCCGACACCCGGCTGGTGAAATCAGCCGTGAAGTTTATGACCAGGGTAAGAATCTCAATCTTCTGCTCCAATTTTCACAAGTGTTTGCACGGTTTCTTCTCTGATCGAATTCTGTTTTTGCAGGCCATCCAAAAGCAGCACTTGGTCATGGAACGCATCCACCAACTTCGGCAGAAGGCCAGTGATACCGCCAGCCAAGTCCAGAGCCTCCAGACCGAGCTAGGCCGAGAAAAATCGTCACTCCAAGTCGCCAGTGCCGACAACAACAAGTTGTTCGGTCAGCTTAGCGAAGCCGAGAAAAAGAGAGACGCGTTCCAAGCCGAGCTGGACGAGCTCAAAAAGTCCAGGGAGAAAGAACGTGAAGACGCCAATAACGCCGATTTTAAAGAGGTAGAAGACAGCTATAAAAAACAAGTCTTTGCCACCCAAGACATCTATTTCAAAGCTGGATGGAAGGTTGCCTGTCAACAGCTCGGTCAAGGTCCTGATACCGACGTGTTTGCCTCTCCATCGACTGTCTTCTTACCGACCTACCTCATATCATATGCCAACGACGTTCGCGTTGCAGGCTGAGGCCGAGGAAGGACTTGAGGGAGAAGTCGAGGCAGATGCTGAGGGAGAGGACCAAACCGAGCAAGAGCAGACCGGCCAGACTGTGACCGGTGTCCAGGACCAGACAGCACCGGTCAACTTGGAAGCTGATGAGGAATTCCCAGACCTTTCCCCCTTAGACTAGTTTTGTGTTTTCTCTCTTTTTCGTTTGCAAATGTAACCGGGCTAAGTTCCCCATCTCTTGTATTTACTTTTTATCAATGAAAAGCTTCGATTTCATCAACTGTCTGCACGGTTTTTTTTTTTCCAACTCTATCTTCAGCAAAACATCTCGGTTTAAATTACAAAGTTGAACAAATCACCAACTTCATCAACCGGAATAACCATCGCGGTTGGAAATCCCAAGCTGAACAAGTCATCAATTCTTCCAACCGGAATAAGTCATCTCGGCTGGGATCTTCAAAGTTGCACAAGTCTTCAACTCTTCCAACCAGAGTAAATCATATCGGTTGGGAATCCTAAGTTGAACAAGTCATCAACTCTTTCAACTGGAATAAATCATCTCGGTTGGGAATCCTAAGTTGAACATGTCATCAACTCTTCCAACCGGAGTAAATCATCTCGGTTGGGAATCCTATGTCGAACAAGTCATCAACTCTTCCAACCGGAGTAAATTATCTCGGTTGGGAATCCTATGTCGAACAAGTCATCCACTCTTCCAACCGGAATAAATCATCTCGGTTGGGTATTTAAAAAGCAAAGAACAAAATGCTAAAGGCAAAGAAGACACTTCTATATATTGACAAAAAGAATTATATTCTGAAGTGTAAGCCAAAAAATTCCTTTGCACAAAAAGAAGGCTAAAGCTAGAAATAATACAATTTGAGGTTGGCCGCATTCCACGGCCGGGGTATTGTTCTACCATCCAAATCCTCCAAGTGGTAT